TGAGTGGGTGTGGGGCGGAGTTGTGAGTTGGACCTGACTAGCTTGTGTTACTAGGTCTGATGCCGTGCTCCTTCCTTAAGTGGAAGTGACCTGACTAGGTGGGTCATTGGGCTAAGCCAGAGGGTGACATGGGCCTGCTTCGCATGGGTCAGTAGGCCTGCTGCGGTGTTCCTTCTTTCTTGTGTTTCAACCCTCGCCGGGAATCAAACCCGACGATCACCGTTTGAAGCGAAAGCTTTTGCTCTCGCTTCTAACATAGTGTTAGACTAAGTTTAGTTTTTGTTACAGAAGACCCATTTAGAGTGGGCCACACTGGTACACATGATCATCGGCCAAGCATCATACCTCCCACCAGTGGACACGGTAGTCAGGTGTCAGGTAACCAGTAGTCAGGTAACCAGACCTCACATTTACTCATGGGTTCTCCAGAATTTTTAAGCCAATGTTTTCTTCTTAGCCTTTGAATATTGGAGCGACCAGTCTCCCACGGATTAAACATGTTAATTAAACACGTTCTAAAGCGGAAGAGGAAACCCCTTAGGAGGCGAAAAGAAGGAAAAAAGTGATTGTTTTCACCAGTTGTCACTGCCATATAATTTTATATCCAGTTAAGTGAAGTGAAGAGTGTTCATTACATCAAAGTATTTGACAGAATACCGAGAGTTGCAGCATCAGAGACAAAACTGAGATTAAAATTCGTCTTAAGAATATTGAGTTTAAGGGCAGATTTACGAAGTGTCGTCAGTGAAGGACAGAAGACACTAGAAAGTTTTAGCAAAGCACCAGCTTATTGAATGGCTATAATCTCTAATATAATAGACAAGAGCGCTGCTAATGTCAGAAATACGAACACTTTTGTGTTCTGTAAGTCAATCAGAAAATGGTGTGGCACATTTCATAATTATATTAAACAGAGAAAGACAACAGGAAATGGAAAAAGTATTAATAATATCGGTGGGGGAAATGAGAAGTAGATTACTATCAAGTGAATTAATTAGGCGAAATGTAAGTAAAATGTCCATATGAAGGAATACGTTATTATAATACTGTAAAATGTAGATGCAGAGTAGAAGAGTCTTCACTGAAGTTCGTTTATGATGTAATATAATCACTTTAACACTAAAGTAGATAGCTGATGACATCAGGAAGATAGCAATAACGAGTGAATACATTTATTTTATTATTATCACACTGGCCGATTCACCATCATTCACTCCATCACTGTCTTGCCAGAAGGGTGCTTTACACTACAGTTTTTAAACTGCAACATTAACACCCCTCCTTCAGAGTACAGGCACTGTACTTCCCATCTCCAGGACTCAAGTCCGGCCTGCCGGTTTCCCTGAACCCCTTCATAAATGTTACTTTGCTCACACTCCAACAGCACGTCAAGTATTAAAAACCATTTGTCTCCATACACTCCTATCAAACACGCTCACGCATGCCTGCTGGAAGTCCAAGCCCCTCGCACACAAAACCTCCTTTACCCCCTCCTTCCAACCTTTCCTAGGCCGACCCCTACCCCGCCTTCCTTCCATTACAGACTGATACACTCCTGAAGTCATTCTGTTTCGCTCCATTCTCTCTACATGTCTGAACCACCTCAACAACCCTTCCTCAGCCCTCTGGACAACAGTTTTGGTAATCCCGCACCTCCTCCTAACTTCCAAACTACGAATTCTCTGCATTATATTCTCACCACACATTGCCCTCAGACATGACATCTCCACTGCCTCCAGCCTTCTCCTCGCTGCAACATTCATCACCCATGCTTCACACCCATACAAGAGCGTTGGTAAAACTATACTCTCATACATTCCCCTCTTTGCCTCCAAGGACAAAGTTCTTTGTTTCCACAGACTCCTAAGTGCACCACTCACTCTTTTCCCCTCATCAGTTCTATGATTCACCTCATCTTTCATAGACCCATCCGCTGACACGTCCACTCCCAAATATCTGAATACATTCGCCTCCTCCATACTCTCTCCCTCCAATCTGATATCCAATGTTTCATCACCTGATCTTTTTGTTATCCTCATAACCTTACTCTTTCCTGTATTCACTTTTAATTTTCTTCTTTTGCATACCCTACCAAATTCATCCACCAATCTCTGCAACTTCTCTTCAGAATCTCCCAAGAGCACAGTGTCATCAGCAAAGAGCAACTGTGACAACTCCCACTTTATGTGTGTTTTCTTTATCTTTTACTCCACGCCTCTTGCCAAGACCCTCGCATTTACTTCTCTTAAAACCCCCATCTATAATATAATTAAACAACCACAGTGCATCACCACATCCTTGTCTAAGGCCTACTTTACTGGGAAATAATTTCCCTCTTTCCTACATACTCTAACTTGAGCCTCACTATCCTCGTAAAAACTCTTCACTGCTTTCAGTAACCACCTCCTATACCATACATCTGCAACATCTGCACATTGCCCCCCTATCCACCTGTCATACCCCCTTTTCCAAATCCATAAATGCCACAAAGACCTCTTTAGCCTTATCTAAATACTGTTCACTTATATGTTTCAAATGTAAACACCTGGTCCACACACCCCCTACCTTTCCTAAAGCCTCCTTGTTCATCTGCTATCCTATTCCTCGTCTTACTCTTGATTTTTTCATTAATAACTCTACCATACACTTTACCAGGTATACTCAACAGACTTTCCCCCTATAATTTTTTTTCTCTCTTTTGTCCCCTTTGCCTTTATACAAAGGGAAATATGCATGCTCCCCTGCCAATCCCTAGGTACCTTACCCTCAACCATACATTTATTAAATAATTGCACCAACCACTCCAAAACTATATCCCCACCTGCTTTTAACATTTCTATCTTTATTCCATCAATCCCGGGTGCCTTACCCCCTTTCATTTTACCTACTGCCTCACGAACTTCCCCCACACTCACAACTGGCTCTTCCTCACTCCTACAAGATGTTATTCCTCCTTGCCCTATACACGAAATCACAGCTTCCCTATCTTCATCAACATTTAACAATTCCTCAAAATATTCCCTCCATCTTCCCAATACCTCTAACTCTCCATTTAATAACTCTCCTCTCCTGTTTTTAATTGACAAATCCATTTGTTCTCTAGGCTTCCTTAACTTGTTAATCTCACTCCAAAACTTTTTCTTATTTTCAACAAAATTTGTTGATAACATCTCACCCACTCTCTCATTTGCTCTCTTTTTACAATACTTCACCACTCTCTTTTTTCTCCATATACTCTTCCCTCCTTGCATCACTTCTACTTTGTAAAAACTTCTCATATGCTAACTTTTTCTCCCTTACTACTCTCTTTACATTATCATTCCACCAATCGCTCCTCTTCCCTCCCTCACCCACTTTCCTGTAACCACAAACTTCTGCTGAACACTCTAACACTACATTTTTAAACCTACCCCATACCTCTTCGACCCCATTGCCTATGCTCTCATTAGCCCATCTATCCTCCAATAGCTGTTTATATCTTACCCTAACTGCCTCCTCTTTTAGTTTATAAACCTTCACCTCTCTCTTCCCTGATGCTTCTATTCTCCTTGTATCCCATCTACCTTTTACTCTCAGTGTAGCTACAACTAGAAAGTGATCTGATATATCTGTGGCCCCTCTATAAACATGTACATCCTGAAGTCTACTCAACCGTCTTTTATCTACCAATACATAATCCAACAAACTGCTGTCATTTCGTCCTACATCATATCTTGTATACTTATTTATCCTATTTTTCTTAAAATATGTATTACCTATAACTAAACCCCTTTCTATACAAAGTTCAATCAAAGGGCTCCCATTATCATTTACACCTGGCACCCCAAACTTACCTACCACACCCTCTCTAAAAGTTTCTCCAACTTTAGCATTCAGGTTCCCTACCACAATTACTCTCTCACTTGTTTCAAAGGCTCCTATACATTCACTTAACATCTCCCAAAATCTCTCTCTCTCCTCTACATTCGTCTCTTCTCCAGATGCATACACGCTTAATATGACCCACTTTTCGCATCCAACCTTTACTTTAATCCACATAATTCTTGAATTTATACATTCATATTCTCTTTTCTCCTTCCATAACTGATCCTTCAACATTACTGCTACCCCTTCCTTTGATCTAACTCTCTCAGATACTCCAGATTTAATCCTATTTATTTCCCCCCACCGAAACTCCCCCTACCCCCTTCAGCTTTGTTTCGCTTAGGGCCAAGACATCTAACTTCTTTTCATTCATAACATCAGCAATCATCTGTTTCTTGTCATCCGCACTACATCCACGCACATTCAAGCATCCCAGTTTTATAAAGTTTTTCTTCTTCTCTTTTTTAGCAAATGTTTACAGGAGAAGGGGTTACTAGCCCATTGCTCCCGGCATTTTAGTCGCCTCATACGACACGCATGGCTTACGGAGGAAAGATTCTTTTCCACTTCCCCAATGACAATAGAAGAAATAAAGAAGAACAAGAGCTATTTAGAAATAGGAGAAAAACCTAGATGTATGTATATATATATGCATATGCGTGTCTGTGAAGTGTGACCAAAGTGTAAGTAGGAGTAGCAAGATATCCCTGTTATCTAGCGTGTTTATGAGACAGAAAAAGAAACCAGCAATCCTACCATCATGCAAAACAGTTACAGGTTTCTGTTTCACAGTCATCTGGCAGGACGGTAGTACTCCCCTGGGTGGTTGCTGTCTACCAACCTACTACCTACATAAGTCATGTCAGATTAAATAAGTCATGTCAGATTAAAATAAATGATCACAAATAAAGAGGAAGTGGAGGTAAAGAGAAGCAAGAACATGTATCATAACATTGTTCATGCATGGAAAAGCATGGAATGTACAAGCCAATGTCCATAGACGCTAGATGTTCATGTCCACTACTCTCTGACTGGCGCTTTTCTTTCTTACGCAAGACTAAGCACAGTGGCTTGTACATCCACAACCTTTCCTGTCATATATATATATATCATTAACAATATTAAAGTTTACTTACGTGAAGTTAAGTGCTTCACAAAGGTAGTCCATTACCTTTACCATGGAACCCTGGAACTGAAACCTGGGAACCGCTGAAAATGGGTCATTCACGCTCACCAACCTATCAAAGGGAGACTTCTCGATCGCCACCAGCAAATTCGGTCTGTGTTGGAACCTACGAGGGTAATAGAGGAAGAATCCACATAATTACTTTCGTTTATTTTTATATATTTTTCTTATATTGTTATGTGTTTTTACTAGTTTTAGTTCATTTTTAGAAAATTCTAGGCTTTACAAATTAAATTCGTGACTAACCAAGGCCCGCCTCATGGTGAGCGAAAACACATGACGCTCTGAGCCACAGGACCACGCAGTCCTACAAGAATGACGTACCCAGCAGAGCTAGGTGTTTTACCGTCATCCGTTGACATACGGTGGTGTGGACGCCTCTGAGCTAATTTAATTCTACTCCCTGTTTGGTGTACTAGCCGAACGAGCAGTATTTTATATTATTATAATCACGAACGAGTGGTACTGAAAAATAACAACACTGCGACTAGCCATGGACTCGAACCCATGTTGCTTTGAGGAAATGGTATGGTGATACCGACAGGATGCGGAAAAAGACACTTATGTACAGTTCAGGACATTTATTAAAGGAAACGTTTCGCCACGAGTGACTTCTTCAGTCCTAATACAGAGGTAACTAAGAAAACGCGTATATATAGTGGCAGGTAAGGACGAGGCGCAAGAGCTTTTTGTCTTCTTCTGATTTCCTGAGTATGCTGCGAGTCTTACTGAGAAAGGAATCTGTTTCTTTCTTCCATGTATGCTCGGGGATGGAAGCGTATGTGTTGGCGTCGTTTAATGAATCTTACATCTTACATACATGGAAGAAAGAAACAGATTCCTTTCTCAGTAAGACCCGAAGCATACTCAGGAAATCAGAAAAAGGTAATAAGCTCTTAGCTCCTCGTCCCTACCAACCATAAGTCAGCAAGGATTTATGGTTTACCAAAGACCCACAAACCAAATGTGCCTACGAGACCTATTATATCTGGAATCGGCAGCGCCCCACACAGCCTGACAAGAGTTTTGGCGAAATATTTATCTAAGCTCCTGTGTACAATTAGTCAGGCTCACCTGAAGCATTCGGGTGACTTCCTTAACCGTATCAGGGATCTCGACATGAGTGATAAGAAGCTTGCAAGTTCCGACGTGACTGCCTTATTCACCAATGTCCCAGTTGATCAAGCCATTGATCTTCTTCGCAGGGTGATTAACGATGATACAGAGTTACCTGTACCCCGCCAAGATTTTGTGACCCTTGTCGAACTTTGTGTTCGTTATAACTGCTTTAGGTTTGAAGACAAGAAGTATAAACAACTATTCGAGCTAGCCATGGAATCCCCCCTTAGTGCAGTACTTGCCAATTTATATATGGAGGACCTAGAATCCAGACGGATCCTCAGTAACATCCCTAGTTCAGTTACATGGATGCGGTACGTTGATGATATTTGGTCACTGTACTAAAAAATCTAGACGTACGTGGCATCCTCAAACACCATCAACACTGGAACCTACTATTAAATTTACACTAGACCCTAGTGTAAATTTAATAGTAGGTTACCCAATTTAACATGCCACATAAAGCATGTTACCCCTTTCACAAAATGTTGTTATTATTGATATATATGGCTAAACGTGAACGTATACAGCCTCGCATACTCTGCTAATCCTAGCAAAACCATTGAAAACGTAAGAACCACACATACATTATATATAAAATTAATAATAGCTACAAATTCACAGTAACAGTGGGTAAATACTAACTATATACTGCACAGGGCAGTACACATACATACCAGCTTATGTCTACCTCGGCTGATGCTCACAGATAAACTGACAGTGTGAAATAGAGGCAGCCTCAGGAAGTGAGTGACGCATACTGGACAGGTCGATCTGGGCTACTGAGTGACTTTTGTCCTGAAGCATACTTGTCAAAATACTTTTGGGTTTCCACACACTTAGCTATATATTTCTTCTTTTCTAATACTGTATATTAGTTTTTGATGTTTATTGTTATTTGGTTTAACTTTATTACTTATAATAGGTTTACTTTACAACTTTATATACTAAGACAAAGTTAACAATAATCCTCATACCGGGTACCGCATTGTTTTCTTGATTTTCAGAATTCATAACTTTTTTTCTGTCACCCCTCCATTACCCCCCAAAAATGGTTAAATTACCCCCAGGGGGTAATTTACCCCCAGTTTGGGAACCACTGCACTAGAGGAAGAGGAGGACAACCAACTAAAAGAGGGGTAGTTATTGGCTTCTTTTTGAGAGCCTACAGAATTTTCAGTCAGCAGTTCCTCGAAGAAGAATGCACATACATCACCAACTCTTTTAGTTCACTACACTTTCCCCTACACTTCATACGTGACTGTAGGAAACGTGCGACACGTATCCTCAAACAAGACCAACACCAATCAAGTTGAAGAAAGGCCTCCAAGTACATTGTTTTACCGGTCAGCAACGTTGCCACTAACGTTTCAAAAATGTTTGACAGAAAACTGGCTAAAATATCTACCAGCTCTTCAGCTACTATTAGGAACCTGATACAAAAACCCAAGCATGATTCTGGCACAAGTGCAGGAATTTACACTATACCATGTGGGGTGTGTGAAAAAGTATATGTAGGGGAAACAGCCAGATCTCTGAACATTAGGAACTTTGAAGATCTTCAACTTGTCGGTTTTTCAAACCATTCATCACAAGAACATTAGGAACACCGAACACAAAAATGCTTGCAGAAATGACCGTAAAAACGCGTGTGTTCAACATAGGGATGATGTTGGACACATGAAATTCAGTGAGGCTAAACTAGTGATTAAAGAAGACGACTTAAGACGGAGAAAATGCATAGAAGCTGCCGTAATTGCCGTCAGTAACACTATAAAGCGAAAGTCCACTAGTTGCAGTATCTCAAAATTGCTAATCAAGAGGATATTACCCATTCTGGAAACTGCTGTAACATGTTAACAGGCCCCTCTGTAGCCATCCGTCTCACTTCCTTAGTTCCACTACTACTACTACTACCACCTCTACCCACACGACACTTCACCGGACTCCTGCCACTATATATACGCGTTTTCTTAGTTTTCTTTGTATTAGGACTGAAGAAACCACGCGTGGCGAAACGTTTCTTTTAATAAATGTCCTGAACTGTACATAAATGTCTTTTTCCACACCATGCTGCTTTGGCCCGTCTCATGGTGAACGAAAATACATGACTCTCTAACCCACAGGAAAGCCACTTGTTACAGATCCCCACTCGAATTTAATCCCATTTAAGCACACTCCGTGCTTCCTGTTGGTGAGCCATGATTCGATCCATGACAGCACTTTTCCCCAAGTGCCATGAGCTGCACTTTCTTGAATAGTCTCTGGTGCGGTACTCTATCAAATGCCTTATAAAATCTAAATAAACAATATCGAATTATTTATCGTGATCAACAGCCTCAAAAGCTTTACTGAAGAAAGTTAATAAATTAGTTAGGCAGGAACGGCCCCTGATGAATCCATGCTGAGTATCATTAATCAAATTATGCCTATCGAGATGGGTTCTTATATTATCAGCTATAATTGACTCTAGTAATTTGCCTACAATTGAGGTTAGGCTTATTGTGTGGTAATTTGACTGTAACGACTTGTCCTCTGCTTTAAAAACAGGAATTACATTAGCCATCTTCCACATATCAGACACTACACCTTTTTGAAGAGATAAATTAAAAATATTAGTTAAAGGTTCACAGAGTTCCATTTTGCATTCCTTAAGAACCCTTGAAAAAAGCTCATCAGGACCAGGTGATTTATTTTGCTTCAATCGGTCTATCTGTTTGATAACCATTTCACTAGTGACTGTGATGATACATAATTTATCTTCTTCAGGCCCACTAAAAGACTTAATTATTGGAATATCATTAGTGTCTTCCTGAGTGAAAACCGAGAGAAAATAATTATTAAAAATAGAGCACATTTCATTCTCTTTGTCAGTAAGATACCCTTAGTTATTTTTAAGGGGACCTATCTTATCTCTAACTTTTGCTCTATACACCGGGAAAAAACTTTTTGGGTTAGTTTTCGAATCCCTAACAACTTTGATTTCATAGTCCCGTTTAGCTTTTCTTATCCCCTTTTTAATGTCCCTTTTAATATCAATATACTGATTCATAAGATGACTCTCACCTCTTTTGATGCAACTATAAATTCCTTTCTTCTGCCCTAAAAGATATTTGAGCCTATTATTCCTCCATTTTGGGTCATTTCCATTCGATCTAATTTCTTTATACTGGATAAATGCTCTTGGGGCAGCATGTATAGTGTTCAGAAAACTGTCATATTGACAGGGAAGAATGTAGTCTTGTTCATCATCCTTTAAAGTGACAATACTCATCCCACTCTTGTTGGCATGAAAGCAAGCATTGTCACGACATTCCAAGTGTTTTCCTAATGCTAAAATCAAGAAGATAATCAGCATATGCAGTCGCTTGAAAAGAAAAGAATTTTGTTCAAGACTGTCTTTGAAATATGTATTTTAGGCGAAGAGGTCTCCAGGTAGAGTGTTTCTGAGGAAAGGAACGAGAAGGGGTGTCATTAATAGCATAATAATCGTCTAGTAAAGGCCAAGGAAGTACAGTGGCGTCCTTCCCTCAACCCCAGATTTATAGTCCCTGTTGTACAAATGTGCAATATTTAATTTTCTGAAACTCACTTTGAGAACTTTTCAGGGAAGAGTGGGAGGTGTGAGGTGAAAAGGAGGCCACGACGAGGTGTCCAGGAGGCCACCTGCACAACCTGGGATCCCCGCGGACTATACGGCAGCTGGACGTAAACACTGCACCTGTAACAGCATCTTATGAAGTCGCTCACTGTTGAAAATACATTGCGACTTACACAGATATGTGCATGTGTGATTGCTTAATTTACAATGTGTGCATGTGTGTAGGGTAATTAAATATAATATTAATTTAATTAAGCATACATTACATAACGCACATTACTTGATGTTTGTTGTGTCGTCGTTGATAATAACCAACATAGAGTTGAGGTTGGACAAGGTTGTGTGGAGATCCTGCAGCTCCATGAGGCGAGAGTGAGTGAGAATGAGGAGCCTCGTCGACCACACCATGAGGCGCCCCTTGACGGACCATTTGACGAAGGCGGCGAGGAAGGTTGCCTCGTCACTTATCACCACAACTGTTGTGTATGATGACAACTTCCGCAGCTGTTCATGAACAAATTATAGTCAATAATCTCTTTAAGCAGTTAGAGATAAGAGGTTCACCATCCTCAACAGTAACTGGCATAGCTTTAATATTAGTGTGAGTGACCTAGCTCCTATAACATTTCGGTGAGCGAAATGGAAAAAACTTCTACCTAACGTAATAACAAAGTAAACATAATTTTGTACCTACCAAACAATGAGCAAACAGCTTACCATCTTAACATTACCAACCAGCAGTGAGAGGTGCTCGTCCCTCTGCTTGAAATCAGAACCATTAATTACTACTTCAGAAATACCAACGCCTTCTGGAAACCTTAAATGGTCTATTATCTGAAAAGAAAAATAGGATACGTTATGCGAAATTATTATATTATTTGTGCAGTAGGTATATGGCCCCAAAATATGTCCTACAAATTTCGCTTATAGCTAACCTTGTTCGATAGTCATCTCACAAAACTTTGAAACATGTAAAATGTAACATGTAAAATATATAGAAATGTGGGAACACGATTATACTTTCATCGAGAACATGAAAGTGAAGTCTAACACTTGGAATGGCTCCAACAATAGACAGATCTAAATATTATCGGTCATTTGTAGGGTCTGTTGGAACAGCAAGTCTGGAACCGATTTCCTCCACCGTCGTCTTTGGAAGAGTTAGAACAGGTTTTGCTTGAGGAATGGTTCATAATTTCCCTGGATACTGTTCAAATGCTATATGAATCAATTCCTCGACGAATTGGTGCTATTTTAAGCTCCCAGTGGAAGACCAAGTCGACAGTGAAAAATAAAAAATGCCGAATAACAAGGTGTTCATATTATTTTGTCCAACCCTGTATTAATGAAAATTTAGTGCTAATTAAAATCACTGAATGTCAGAATTCAATTTGACACATTATTCGTGGGGAAAATGCTACTGTGGGGTTAACTTGTGCTATTTTCGACTACACATAAGTGATTTCAAGATTGGATCCAAGAATTGTCAAGGGACAATAGTTATTCTTACCCAGGGAGTTATCACTTCCAAGGGAAAGAGGTTATCGTTACCCAGGGAAGAAGGTTATCACTGAACAGGGAAGGGAATTATCTTTGCCCAGGGAAGGGGGTTATCCTTGCCCATACTGAAAATGGGAGGTAATAACCCGCCGGAGGCTCGATTTCTTTTTATGAATTCATGGGTTTTAAATATGAGGAAACAGAGTAATAAAAATCATTACATGGTGTGAAACGATATCTTTCCAGACCATGGAGCTGAACTCTTCTCCAGGCTGAGGGACTGACCACCTCAAATACATTTTCTCCAAGGTTGATGGACTGATTACATCATCTTTATTTCATTATTACTACTCACTTTGCTTTTGACTGAAGAAGACTACTGTGTAGGCAAAACGTTTAATCAATAAAGATACCAAATTGTTGCACATGTGTCTAAATCTTCAAGACTCCGTGGGATTTGATGAGTAACTTGGGTGAAAAATCGTGATTGATCGACTCAGTTCTACCTTCATCATTTGTGAAAGGCTACATCATGTGTGTAGGGGACTGTCATTTTGTAAGATGTTTCTTCTCTACCGACTAGTCACGTCAGAGACTTCAGAAAGAATGGTTCACCTTATCATATAACGGTTCACTAAATTCTCCGTGCTCAACTATAGCGCTCCCTGTGGGTTGTCATGCGCCTTTCATCAGGACTCAGACCTATTTTATCACAAGTGTCTGTCTGCAGGTTGTGTTTGTGACTGAATCTTCTGCTCCTTCCGTGAATATTTTACTGACGTCACTTGGGATCATTGTGGATCAGAGGCAGTAAGCAGCATCACGGACAGATCCACATCACTTGCTTGATGCTCTTGTATACTTGCATATCTCTGATTAACTTTCGCAATTTGTTTAACTTTTTCACTTTCAATTCATTTAAAAAATACTTCATATCTGTCTGTTTCACATTAAGTAAACTGCAGTTTTTGTCATCTTTAATTCCTCATATGCTTATATTTTCATGGTTTTTAAATGTTTGTTCATATATATTTTACCTACGAATGGATGAGGTATTAATATTGAGGCCGCATTCCATTCACATTCCTTCATATTCTATTTCAGCCTTCGTCAACAAAAGTCTTGTCTTATTCATCACTGAATGCAAAAAAAAGGCATTTTCCACATATAACGACAGACGATCAGTGTTTTTACAAACGTACGATGTGTCTCCCTCTTTTTGTATCTCTGATATCAACTGATGGATACTTCTTATATGTGTATTTTGCTTCTTTAATCACTTGTCGTTTAATTTTCGTACCAGTGTTTACAATCCTATTTGCTTCTTGTGTTGAATTTTCCTCTGAATGTCATTGCCATATATCGAAAACAGACTACATTTTTCTTTTCACTGATTTCAGCTTTAGGAAAGGTAGGGGGTGTGTGAACCAGGTGTTTACAGTGAAACATATAAGTGAACAGTATTTAGATAAAGCTAAAGAGGTTTTTGTGGCATTTATGGATTTGGAAAAGGCGTATGACAGGGTGGATAGGGGAGCAATGTGGCAGATGTTGCAGGTGTATGGTATAGGAGGTAGGTTACTGAAAGCAGTGAAGAGTTTTTACGAGGATAGTGAAGCACAAGTTAGAGTATGTAGGAAAGAGGGAAATTATTTCCCAGTAAAAGTAGGCCTTAGACAAGGATGTGTGATGTCACCGTGGTTGTTTAATATATTTATAGATGGGGTTGTAAGAGAAGTAAATGCGAGGGTCTTGGCAAGAGGCGTGGAGTTAAAAGATAAAGAATCACACATAAAGTGGGAGTTGTCAGAGTTGCTTTTTGCTGATGACACTGTGCTCTTGAGAGATTCTGAAGAGAAGTTGCAGAGGTTGGTGGATGAATTTGGTAGGGTATGCAAAAGAAGAAAATTAAAAGTGAATACAGGAAAGAGTAAGGTTATGAGGATAACAAAAAGATTAGGTGATGAAAGATTGGATATCAGATTGGAGGGAGAGAGTATGGAGGAGGTGAATGTATTCAGATATTTGGGAGTGGACGTGTCAGCGGATGGGTCTATGAAAGATGAGGTGAATCATAGAACTGATGAGGGGAAAAGGGTGAGCGGTGCACTTAGGAGTCTGTGGAGACAAAGAACTTTGTCCTTGGAGGCAAAGAGGGGAATGTATGAGAGAATAGTTTTACCAACGCTCTTATATGGGTGTGAAGCATGGGTGATGAATGTTGCAGCGAGGAGAAGGCTGGAGGCAGTGGAGATGTCATGTCTGACGGCAATGTGTGGTGTGAATATAATGCAGAGAATTCGTAGTTTGGAAGTTAGGAGGAGGTGCGGGATTACCAAATCTGTTGTCAAGAGGGCTGAGGAAGGGTTGTTGAGGTGGTTCGGACATGTAGAGAGAATGGAGCGAAACAGAATGACTTCAAGAGTGTATCAGTCTGTAGTGGAAGGAAGGCGGGGTAGGGGTCGGCCTAGGAAAGGTTGGAGGGAGGGGGTAAAGAAGGTTTTGTGTGCGAGGGGCTTGGACTTCCAGCAGGCATGCGTGAGCGTGTTTGATAGGAGTGAATGGAGACAAATGGTTTTTAATACTTGACGTGCTGTTGGAGTGTGAGCAAAGTAACATTTATGAAGGGATTCAGGGAAACCGGCAGGCCGGACTTGAGTCCTGGAGATGGAAAGTACAGTGCCTTCACTCTGAAGGAGGGGTGTTAATGTTGCAGTTTAAAAACTGTAGTGTAAAGCACCCTTCTGGCAAGACAGTGATGGAGTGAATGATGGTGAATGTTTTTCTTTTTTCGTGCCACCCTGCCTTGGTGGGAATCGGCCACTGTGTTAATAATAATAAAAAAAATCCCATTCAGCACAGTGCTCCTTTAGCATCTGCTGTGATCTCTGCGTGTAACTGGTCAAGAATGTATAACTCGGCTTCAATCTTTCTCAAGGCAGCTACATAATGTCTCGAGACAGTCATTCCTTTCCTCATGCATTTGTTGACCAACAGGTTTTAAGTTTGGTAAAATACGTTTGAATTCTTGATACCAACGAAGATAACATCTCTCCACTTCTGCCACCAAATCAATACATCCTTAAAATAGAGATAAAACCTCATTTGTCCGTGAGTCAGCCCAATTATAGCCTTGCTCTCTAATAGTATTTCTAGTGGGAATTGATCGCACAAGTATTAAAAGATCTGTCACGGATGCTAGCTCTCTTGAATCCTGACTCTCGAGAGTCCGGCAGAAAATATTGTCCAAATGTGGGCGGAAATTGGAAAGGTTGCCTTGGTTCAAGAATATTCACAGACAAAATGTGCAATTTTCTCTCCAGCTAAATTTTTAGTCATTGGAAGACCTCATTCGCTTATTATATGGTCCATCATTGGCATACAACTTCTTGGTGCTCCTTCGGAATATTTCTTCTGGAAAATAGCATGTACGAGAACCTTACCCACTGGTGAGGTGGGTAATGTAACTAAACAGTTCACTGTCTTCACTGCTTTGACTGTTATTATTAAGGAACGTACCCAAGCCTTTTCTACCAACTATCAGTGTCTTCTGATTTTCAGAATGTTCGAGTGAAATAACAGTTTTCAGCGGCATACATTAACACCAACATCAGTCTCTGATGGTTGTTCTACAGTCTTGGAAATGTTCAGTTCGAATCCCATTCACACTCGCCACGGATCCTCAAAACAGAAGAGAAATAATTATGCTGTTTCGTGTACAATACAATTACTGCATGATTTATTTAGCATTTCATTAACACATAAAGAAGCTTCAGTGGTTATAAACGTGACTGAAAAATGTGATGAAATGAAGCAAAAATCGTAAATGGAATCGATGGGGTCTTTGAGAGCGATTCAGGACATATTTCCTCACCAAAATTATATGCATGATTTTTTTAAGGGTTTGATCTAAATTCTGGTCTCTCCTAACCGATTTTAAATATTTTGATTGATTTATCAGGAAGTCACAACAAACTCGTTTCTACAGATTTTTGCAGAGATTTACCCTGGTGAAACATTTTGAGTAACCACAATTACTCATTTCGGTTATTGTTCTACTTTATGCTACGGTCTTGCTATTGTCGGTTTATATATTACATTATAATTGGCTCTTTATTATGAATCAATGATTAAGTACATTATGGAAGACTCATTATTAGAAACAATTACTCATAATAATTAGATTTCTAATCTTACGCTTGATATAATATATTACAACAATGAAATTACTACTGCTGAAAATATTTTCTGGACATATAATATATAATGAGAAAGCTGAGACACTTGCCATGAAGATAGTGGAGGGTGAGGTAGTGCCGTCCGTAATGAAAATTACAGAGTAGCTGCCATGTTGTGTTGAGGTCAACACAGCCTCCACCACCTGTGTGACCAGCCAAGCCTCCATCACCTGTGTTGAGAGACCAGTCTGCTGCAGGCGCATCATGGACAGCTTCGTATCGTGTTCACCTGTCGAAAGATTAAAGGTTAAATTCTTATTTTTATGCTGTCACATGATTTGGAATCTAAACAGAAATGGTAATCTTGCTAACTGTCGCTCACTTGTGGGGGAAATCAGGCAGAAAATGCATCGGAACTCATTCGTTTCCCCCTCCCCTCCCCCCCCGTGGTTGATCACAACCGAGTGATAACAGATGTAAATCAACCACAGAGATGTGATTAGAAAGACATTTGCAATGCGCTTGTCGCTTTGCAACCTTGCAACAATCCTTTGATCACGAGCTAAGTGACAGAGCATCGGAATGGAGGGGCGGTCAACCCAACCAGGATGCGCCTGTAGCAGAATCCATCTAGTCATGCTAGACTTGCTTTGACGTTACTGCGTTGTTCACTCGAGTCCTAACACCAGATTTATTATCCTACTTGGAAGACGAATTCGATTAGAAAATATGCCCAAGTGGCTTAAGGTCGAGATTAGAGTATCCCTCATGGATGAGACCACAAAATGTATATAACTCTAAGGACATCACTATCTACATTTCACCCCCGTAACCATGTAAATATATTTATATGAAAAACAAATTTCATTTCTACGAAAATATAAAACCGGGAAAAAATCTTGATACGAGGAAATGGAGCGAAGTTAAACTCTTGGGATATCCAAAAGTTCATTCTATGAAATATATTCTATGAAATATATATTCATTAAATGTTATTCAAGGAAGATCGTATATCGTATAAGGAGAAAGCCTAGCGGGATGTATCTTCCTCGGAGCCTAGAGATAGAGCCCAAGAGGAGGTCATAGTAGGATTTGAGGAAGTGATCATACAGAGGAAGTGGTTATAGCATGATTAGGTGTCCCATAGCTCAATTGCTAGCGCACTCAGCTCACAAAGTGAGGTCTGGGGTCGATGGCCAGTAAGGGTAGAAACATTAGGATGTTTCCTTAAGGTATCTGCTGTCCCTGTTCACCTATCAGTACGACAGGTACCTGTGTGTTAGTCGACCGGTATGGGTCGCATCCTGGAGACAAAATTGACCTTATTTGCCCGAAATTATGTAGTAGTATGTCATTGATGTCAGATAGGCTTTTATTTGTTATACATGTACTTGTAGAAATAAATATTATTATTAGTCTCATTAATATTATTATCATTATTATTATTATTATTATTATTGCCCTACTTATTAGTATTATTTAAGGAGGTGGCTATATAGTTGAGGTGGTCATAGTGAGATTTGGGGAGGTGATCAGACAAATGAAAATTCTACTACTCAACTTACAGAAGTACACTGTATAACCTACCAACAGGTGCTGGTATCTACACAACTTACATATACAGGTACATTGTATGACCTACCAACAGGTGCTGGTATCTACACAACTTACATATACAAGTACATTGTATGACCTACCAACAGGTGCTGGTATCTACACAACTTACATATACAAGTACATTGTATGACCTACAAACAGGTGCTGGTATCTACACAACTTACATATACAAGTACATTGTATGACCTACCAACAGGTGCTGGTATCTACACAACTTACATATACAAGTACATTGTATGACCTACAAACAGGTGCTGGTATCTACACAACTTACATATACAAGTACATTGTATGACCTACAAACAGGTGCTGGTATCTACACAACTTACATATAAAAGTACATTGTATGACCTACCAACAGGTACTGGCATCTACACAACTTATATACAAGTACATTGTATGACCTACCAACATGTGCTGGGACCTACATAACTTACATATACAAGTACATTGTATGACCTACCAACAGGAGCTGGTATCTACGCAACTTACATATGCAACTGCATTGTATGACCTACCAACAGGTGCTGGTATCTACTCAACTTACATATACAAGTACATTGTATGAACTACCAAGAGGTGCTGGTATCTACACAACTTACATATACAAGTACATTGTATGACCTACCAACAAGTGCTGGTATCTACACAACTTACATATACAATTACATTGTATGACCTGCCAACAGGCGCTGGTATCTGCACAACTTACATATACAAGTACATTGTATGACCTGCCAACAGGCGCTGGTATCTACACAACTTACATATACAAGTACATTGTATGACCTGGCAACACGTGCTGGTATCTACACAACTTACATATACAGGTACAATGTACGACCTACCAACATGTGCTGGTACCTACACAACTTACATATACAAGTACATTGTATGACCTACCAACAAGTGCTGGTATCTACACAACTTACATATACAAGTACATTGTATGACCTACCAACAGGTGCTGGTATCTACACAACTTACATATACAAGTGCATTGTATGACCTACCAACCGGTGCTGGTATCTACACAACTTACATATACAAGTACATTGTATGACCTACCAACAGGTGCTGGTATTTACACAACTTACATATACAAGTACATTGTATGACCTACCAACAGGTGCTGGTATCTACACAACTTACATATACAAGTACATTGTATGACCTACCAACAGGTGCTGGTATTTACACAACTTACATATACAAGTACATTGTATGACCTACAACAGGTGCTGGTATCTACACAACTTACATATACAAGTACATTGTATGACCTACCAACAGATGCTGGTATTTACACAACTTACATATACAAGTACATTGTATGACCTACCAACAGGTGCTGGTATCTACACAACTTACATATACAAGTACATTGTATGACCTACCAACAGGTGCTGGTATCTACACAACTTACATATACAAGTACATTGTATGACCTACCAACAGATGCTGGTATTTACACAACTTACATATACAAGTACATTGTATGACCTACCAACAGGTGCTGGTATCTACACAACTTACATATACAAGTACATTGTATGACCTACCAACAGGTGCTGGTATCTACACAACTTACATATACAAGTACATTGTATGACCTACCAACAGATGCTGTATTTACACAACTTACATATACAAGTACATTGTATGACTACCAACAGGTGCTGGTATCTACACAACTTACATATACAAGTACATTGTATGACCTACCAACAGGTGCTGGTATCTACACAACTTACATATACAAGTACATTGTATGACCTACCAACAGGTGCTGGTATCTGCACATCTCCCCAACACACAACAGCAGACAATGGAAACACCATCCACCATATACTCGTCATCCTCTTTACTAAAACACTGCAACGAAAAATAAAACTAGATGTATGACAATCGCTGTTTGATCCAGGAAAGTTTCCTGTATTCCACAACCCCTTTCTCATGTACCCCAAAGCATACAATAAGAATAGTGCAGAGTGTGGCATACGTTTCTTATGCAGTTGATGATTTTAAGCACTTCAGAATAGGAAGTCACAAGTTATCATGAGAACACTGATATCTAAATTTCTTCTATGAAATATAACAAATTAAGTGCATGTAACCTGAAACTAATTTAAACCATGCACAATGAAACACCAGTTTGAATGCTAAAATGTAGAGATATTTTCTTATCTCAGAGAGACCAGTTTCCTAAAATAAATTAGCACACCATCCTGAAGCCGCTTTGAAAAATACACTAAATTATTAGTGTTAAAGTCAGTGGAAGGAGGTATTCTTCAAACTGTACTTTCGTGCGCGCAAGACCACATACATGTTCACACACACACACACACACACACACACACACACACATACACACACACACACACACACACACACACACACACAAACGCACACACACATATACACACATACACACACACACACACACACATCTTCTTGGACTGCAAGAAGGCCTTTGACACAGTTCCTAACAAGAGATTAGTGCAGAAGCTAGAGCATCAGGCGCATATAACAGGAAGGGCACTGCAATGGATCAGAGAATACCTGACAGGGAGACAACAACGAGTCATGGTACGTAATGATGTATCACAGTGGGCACCTGTGACGAGCGGGGTCCCACAGGGGTCGGTCCTAGGACCAGTGCTATTTTTGGTATATGTGAACGACATGATGGAAGGGTTAGACTTAGAAGTGTCCCTGTTTGCAGATGATGTGAAGTTAATGAGGAGAATTAAATCTGATGAGGACCAGGCAGGACTTCAAAGAGACCTGGACAGACTGGACACCTGGTCCAGTAAATGGCTTCTCGAATTTAATCCTGCCAAATGCAAAGTCATGAAGATAGGGTAAGGGCACAGAAGACCACAGACCGAGTATAGGCTAGCTGGCCAAAGACTGCAAACCTCACTCAAGGAGAAAGATTTTGGGGTGAGTATAACACCCAGCATGTCTCCGGAAGCACACATCAACCAGATAACTGCTGCAGCATATGGGCGCCTGGCAAACCTGAGAACAGCATTCCGATACCTTAGCAAGGAATCGTTCAAGACACTGTACACCGTGTATGTCAGGCCCATACTGGAGTATGCAGCACCTGTTTGGAACCCGCAATTGATAAAGCACGTCAAGAAATTAGAGAAAGTACAAAGGTTTGCGACAAGGTTAGTTCCAGAGCTAAGGGGAATGTCCTATGAAGAAAGATTAAGGGAAATCGGCCTGACGACACTGGAGGACAGGAGGGTCAGGGGAGACATGATAACGACATATAAAATACTGCGTGGAATAGACAAGGTGGACAAAGACAGGATGTTCCAGGGAGGGGACACAGAAACAAGAGGCCACAATTGGAAGTTGAAGGCACAAATGAGTCAGAGAGATATTAGGAAGTATTTCTTCAGTCATAGAGTTGTAAGGCAGTGGAATAGCCTAGAAAATGACGTAGTGGAGGCAGGAACCATACACAGTTTTAAGACGAGGTTTGATAAAGCTCATGGAGCGGGGAGAGAGAGGGCCCAGTAGCAACCGGTGAAGAGGCGGGGCCAGGAGCTAAGACTCGACCCCTGCAACCACAAATAGGTGAGTACAAATAGGTGAGTACAAATAGGTGAGTACACACACTCTCTCTCTCTCTCTCTCTCTCTCTCTCTCTCTCTC